AAAAAAAAAAAAAAAAAACCAAACATGGCAAAGGTCAGGTTGGTAACTTGTGCCTGCAATCCTAGCAGTCTGGGAGGCCAAGGCAGGTGGATTGCCTGAGTTCACAGGTTCCAGACCAGCCTAAGCCATGGTGAGACCTCACCTCTAAAATAGCCAGGCATTGTAGTGGGCGTAGTCCCAGCAACTTGGGAGGCTGAGGAAAGAGAAAGAGCCCAAGCGTTTGAGCTTTCTGTGAGCTATGACATCATGGCACTCTACCAAGGGGGACAACAACATAAGATTCTGTCTCAAAAACAAACAAACAAAAGAAACAAAGTGGCAGGCTGGGAGCAGTGGCTCAAGCCTATAATAACAGCATTCTGGGAGGCTGAGAAGGGTAGACTGCTTGAGCTTAGGAGTTCAAGACCAGCCTGAGGAAGAGCAAGACTCCATCTCTAAATAAAAAAAAAAAAATAGCTGGGCACTTTGGTTGGAACCTTTAGTCCTAGCTATTCAAGCTGAGGCAAGAAGATCACTTGAGCCCAAGGGTTTGAGGTTGCTGTGAGCTATGATCCCAGGGCACTCTACCGAGGGTGACAAAGTGATACTCTGTACCAAAAAAAACAACAAAACAAGGCTGGCCACCCATAACTCAGTGGTTTGGGCTCTGGCCACATACTCTGGGGCTGATGGGTTCAAACTCAGCCAGGGCCTCCTAAACAACAACAACAAAATAGCCAGGTATTGTGGCAGGTGCCTGTAGTCCTAGCTACTAGGGAGGCTGAGGCAAGAGAATTGCTTGAGCCCAAGAGTTTGAGTTGCTGTGAGTTGTGATGCTACAGCCCTCTATGCACTCTACCAAGGGTGACAAAGTGAGACTTTGTCTCAATTTAAAAAACAAAAAAAGGCCAGGTGGCTCGGTGCCTCTAGCTCAGCATCTAGGGGCACCACCACATACACCGGAGCTGGAGGGTTCAAACCCAGCCTGGGCCTCCCAAACAAAAATGACAACTACACCAAAAAAAAAAAAAAAAAAAATAGCTGAGCTTTGTGGTGGTCACCTGTAGTCCCAAGCTACTTGGGAGGCTGAGGCAAGAGAATCGCTTAAGCCCAAGAGTTTGAGGTTGCTGTGAGCTGTGATGCCACTCTATCCAGGGTGACATAGTGAGACTCTGTCTCAAAAAAAAAAAAAAAAAAAAAAAGGCCAGGTGTGGTGGCTCATGCCTATAATCCTAGCACTCTGGGAGGCCGAGGCGGTGGATTGCTGGAGCTCAGGAGTTTGAGACTAGCCTGAGCAAGAGTATGGCCCCTTCTATACTAAAAATAGAAAAACTGAAGGAAGGTTCAGTGCCTGTTGCTCAGCGGCTAGGGCACCAGCCACATACACCAGAGATGGCGGGTTCGAATCCAGCCCAGGCCTGCCAAACAACAACGACAACTATAACAAAAAAATAGCTGGGTGTCATGGCGGGCACCTGTAGTCCCAGCTACTTGGGAGGCTGAGGCAAGAGAATCGCTTAAGCCCAAGAGTTAGAAGTTGCTGTGACGTGTGACACCAGGGCACTCTTCCCAGGGCCACGGCTTGAGACTCTGTCTCAACAAAACAAAACAAACAAAAAAAAAAACTGAAGGAAAAGGCTCACTTGAGCCCAAGAGTTTGAGGTTGCTGGGAGCTATGAGGTCATGTCACTCTACCAAGGGCAACAGCTTGATACTCTGTCTCAACAACAAAACAAAACAAAACAAAAAACAATGTGGCAATGTTACATGGACCTAACAAACATGGATGTGGGTAGCACATGTTCAGGTTCTGCCCTTTTATACTGTACACGGCAATCCCTTGTTATAGTTGCATCAGTATTATTCATCAGTCCAAATACTTACAGGGCATCTAACACACTTATTCTGTGCTAAGTGCCATGGTCATGGCTGAGGTTACAACAGTGACCAAAATAACTATGGTTTTATAGTTATGGTTTCATTATGGCAGACATAATGTACAAGGAACAATCATATATGACAAGGGTTGTGAAGAGGGTTAAGATAGAAAATTACATGATACTATGGACACATAGAGTCAGGTAGTGCCTAAAGGAGTCCAGTGTCAGGGAAAGCTCCTGGACAGAAGTGACATTTAATCGAGGATCTGAAAGATGATGAGTAGTCAGATCATAAAGAAAGGGAAGAGCTTCCATGCAGAGTGAACAGTATATGCAAAGCCTTGGAGGCCAGACAGTGTAAGATGCGTTCAAGGAACTGAAGGGTATTCAGAACAGCAAATGTGGGCTGGGGGGAGCCAACGAGAAATGAGATTGGGAAAGGCTTGACATGGGAGAGGGACATAGTCAGATTGGCATTTGGTACAGTATTCTCTAAAAAGGGATGGAAAATGCACTGCAAAGTAGGTAAACTTGGAAGCAAGGAGAACAGGGAGGATGCTATTGTAAGTCTAGTTGAGAGGTAACAGTGGCTCGGAGTTCAGTAGTAATAGTGGAAATGGACAGACACAGATGAAGAAAAGAGATATTTAGGACTTGGTGATTAATTGGACGTGTGGGTAGGAGAGATGGGACTCATTAATACCTTTGAGAGAAATATTTGATGAATAAATACCTGGATGGCCAGGGTTCCATACAGGTTTTTCCCCCTTCAACAAAGAGATAGTGGAGAGATGAATGTGTGCCAGGGGTCTGCTAAGACCTTAGGGACCTGTGAGTGATATTCATTGTTTTTTTTTAGAGACAGAGTCTCACTTTATTGACCTTGGTAGAGTGCTGTGGCGTCACAGATCACAGCAACCTCCAACTCCTGGGCTTAGGTGATTCTCTTGCCTCAGCCTCCTGAGTAGCTGGGACTATAGGCACCTGCCACAACACCCAGCTATTTTTGTGGTTGTTGCAGTTTGGCCAGGGCCGGGTTCCAACCTGTCACCCTTGGTATATGGGGCCAGTGCCCTGCCCACTGAGCCACAGGTGCTGCCCTATTCATTTTTTTTTTTTTTCATAGGAAAACCCTGGTGTCTGGTCTGAAGTGGTATTCCTAGGAATGTTCTGCTCACAGGTGGCAGCACAAAGCTCTGCTCTCTGGCCCCCAGGGTACATGCTTTGCAGCTGCTGGTCTTACCCAGATCGATGGTGTGCACATCTGAGAAGCTTCTGTTTGGATCCGCTCCCCCAACAATGAAGACCTTCCCTCTCTTGGCATCACCAACTGGAGGTAAATATAAGCAGCTGTGGCCGACTCGAGCACAGGGACTGTCTCCAGGGAGAGTCAAGGTGTACCTGCCAAAGAGAGGATGTGTTCAGGAGGTCTCAGTAGAGAATAGATGCAGAAGTGTGTTCTTTCCATTCCTTGTGAGACATTACCAGAATAAAGGCTCTTATACATACCTAGGCACTTTATGTCATAAAGTGCAAAGTCAGCTAAGTCAGCAAAGCAGCACCCCAATTAATACCCAATAGTACCTTGCCATCTTCCCTTTGCACACAGACTTTGGCTTTTCCATTCTGTCACTATTTTCATCTCATAGGAATCTAAATTCCGGCATCCAGAAATGTTTGCTGGTATGTCTTGGCATAGGATGGTGGCTGCAAACATGGTTTGTGAATTCAGACAGATGTGGCTCAGGCCCCAGCTCAGGTGCTTTCTGGAAGTGTGACCTTTTGGAACTCACCTAACATTCTGAACTTTAGTTTTCTCATTTGTAAAACAAGGACATCAATAGTTCTCACCTCATAAGGTGATTGTGATAAGGCCTTCTAACAGTTCAAGGAAAGACTCAATAAATGGAGATTAGATCTTCATGTGCAATCACATAGGAGCCAACAGCCCCATGGACCTTGCCACCAGCCAATGAGGCCTCCCATCAAAAAAATATTCTTCAGAGGCTCAGTGCCTGTAGCTCAGTGGCTAGGGTGCCAGGCATATACACAGGAGCTGGTGGGTTCAGATCCAGCCGGGGCCTGCCAAATGACAATGACAACTACAACCAAAAAATAGCTGGGCGTTGTGGTAGTTGCCTATAGTCCCAGCTACTTGGGAGGCTGAGGCAAGAGAATCGCTTAAGCCCAAGAGTTTGACATTGCTGTGAGCTGTGAAGCCATGGCACTATACCCAGGGCAACAAAGTGAGACTCTGTCTCAAAAAAAAAAAGAAAAATTATTGAATTTATTGGTTTCAAGAGCCTTTCCCGGTTATTCATAAAGTTCAATCTGATGGAAGCCAAGGCTAGTACTCTGAAAACTCAAATACAGGATTGAGTCATTCCACCCTCTGAAGTGACTAAGAAGATGTACTTCGGCTCGGCGCCTATAGCTCAACCGGCTAAGGCGCCAGCCACGTACACCTAAGGCGGCGGGTTCGAATCCCCAGCCCGG